ATGACTCTGGTGGTTGCTTCACAACAGAAGCATAAAAAACAATCATAAAATTTTGGAAGTCATAACATTTCTAAAGTTCAGGTAACAACACCAAAAATTGGCAAATGGGATTACATGAAGCTGAAAAGCTTCTGCCCGGCAAAACAATCAATGGACAACTCAAAGAGTAGGAAAAATATTTGCAAACTATACCTCTGGAAAGGGATTGATAACCAGAACATATAAGACACTTAAACAGCTCACCCATAAAATACTAGTAACACAATTAAAAAATGGGCAATTGACCTTTGAGATATACAGTGAATGAATGTAAAAATAAATAACCATTTTTAAATTTTTTATAAAGATAACTCAAAGAAAGACATAAAAATAACTAATATGCATATAAAAATGTTCAGCACCTCTTATTATAAGGGACATAAAAATCAAAATCACAGTTGGGCAATATCTATTCCCAGTCAAAATGATTATGATCAAAAAGTAAAGAATGAGTGCTGGCAAGGTGGCAGAGAAAAGGGAACCCTTGTGCACTGCTTATGGGAATGTAAATTAATACAACCACTGTGGATAACAGGAGATTCTTCTTCAAAAAGTTAAATAGAACTACCATATGATCTAGTAATCCCACTCTTGGATTTTTTACCTAAAAGACAGAACTTTACTCTTTCAGAGAGACATTTGCACATCTATATATTTTGAAGCATTATTCACAACACCTAAGATGTGGAATCAACCCATCTCCAAAACAAATGACCAGACTTTTTAAATGTGCCACATATACATAATGGAATAATACTCAGTCAGAAAAATATTTTATCACTTGACACAAAGTCGATGAACCTAGAAGATATAATGTTAAGTAAAATAAACCAGACTATGAAAGATAAATACTATATATCTTAACTTACAAACTGCAAATGCTGCACTCTCTGACAGAAACTGAAGGACATGATAGCATAGAAGTAGGGAGGTACCAGAGTTGCCCAGAGAGGTGAGGTAAGGTTTGAGAGAAAATGATTAACAGACACAACACTGCATATGAACAACTGAAAAAGGTTATGAAACAGTGTACCAAAGTGGAGTAAAAATTTTCATTGACAATTCAATATATACTTTAAATGAAAACTACTAGAGCTACTATCAAATCATACAACATAAGGTACTGTTCAATGTCAAAAAAGATGAATATGGCTAAAATTCTTGATTTGAATAAGGAATACTCTATGCATGCTTTGAAAAACTATACTGTACCCCACAGCAATGGACAATATGTTGGTTATATGTAAACCAGAAATCATAATTTAGGAAAAACATTAAAATGTCAAACAAAGGAAAGAAATTAAAAATCTCCAGTGACAGATAAAAAGATATAGATAGATATAGATATATAGACATATAGATATAGATAGATATAGATATAGATAGATATAGATATAGATAGATAGATATGGATATGAATACTGCTCACTATTGATAGAACCAGTGATAGAAAGTACATGCCAAGGTTAGTAGATAATATATCTATGAGTGGATAAGAGTGACAGAGGAGAGAGGAAGGAGTCTTCACTATTTGCTCCAAATGTATTCAGTTAATTATTTTATTCTTATTGAATTAGACTACAGTTTTATGTTATTTCTTTAATATAATAGTACATTTAAAAGTATCCTTTCATTATCTTTTTTCACTTAGAGATATGGCCATAATAGGGTTTCACACTTAAACTCTTAATTTTCAAAGTCTGTTAAAAGAAACGAAGATAATTTTGAAATGTAAATTTTCCTCTTTAGTCATGAGCAAGTTGCAGCACACCATCGATGAACTGGCTGTCATCTGCCCACCTTCATTACTCATCTAACCGGCTGGAACCAGAACTGATGTCTTAGGCCCAATTTAAAACATGGTAAAGACCAAAGAGAAGAGTATTACTCTCCTAACAGAATAATAAGAACATTTACTTTCCTAGCAGCTTTGTTTAGTTATAATTAATAACTGCATATATTTAATGTGTGCAATTTAAAGACTTGAAAATTTGCCAACTACCTGAGATATCACCATAATCAAGGTAATAGATATATCCAAATCTTTCAAAAAGTTTCCTTTCTTTTTGTTTTGTGTTTGTGTGTATAATCTGGGGAGTGATTGCAAGATGTGTTATTCTTTTGTTTTTTGTAGGAATACTTAACATGAGATCTACCCTCTTCATGGATTTCCAATAACACAATAATTATACTGTTAATTAGAGGTACTGTATTATATGGCAGATCTCTGGAATTTATTTATCTAGAATAATTGAATATCATTGACTATCTCCCTACTTCCCTCTTACCCTGCTTCTGAAAATCATTATTTTATTCTCTCCTTTCATGACTATGACTATTTTAGATAATTCATGTAAGAAGAATTGGGCAGTATTTGTCCTATTGTAACTGACATATTTCACTTTGTATAATGTCTTTAATGTTCATCAATGCTGTGCAAATGGCGGCATTTCTCTTGCTTAAGGTGAAGCAATACTCTCTTGTGTGTATATACCACATTTTCTTTATTGATTCATCAGTTCACAGGCAATTGGATAGTTTTCATATGTTAGCCATTGCGAATAATAGTGTATTGAACATAAAAGTGCATTTTTTTTTCAGCATACTGATTCAATTTAGTTTGGATATATACCCAGTAGTCAATAGGTCAACAAGATCATAGGATCATTCTTTTTTGAATTTTTTGAGAAATCTCTACACTGTTTCCATAACTGCTGCATCATATTACTTTGCCAAAACAACATACAAGGTTTCCCACTTTTTCCCCATGTTAGTCAAGACTTTATCTTTTGCTTAAACATCTTTACCTTATACTTTCAGTAGTATTTGACTGGATTAACTTGAACCTAGCTTTCAGACGGGTTCATTACTACATAAGAAATCAATTTGGGAAAAGTTTAAAGTTAAGGATCCCTGAGGAGTCTGAAAGCAGGTCTTTCCAAATACTTGTTTCTATTTAAAGTGCAGAGCTGAAAGTTTCCAAACCCAGAGGCTACTCTTTATAGGGTATAAATGCCACAGAAGATGGATACACTGTCACCAATACTGATCATTCCAGAAAAAAAATTGAACCTCATTTCAGACTTAAAATATAATCTATACTGAGAATACTCTGGTTTTGGAGGTGATTCCTGTAGGGTAAGTATAGCACAAGCTATATGATTTTGAACTTGCACTTTTTATCCCATTGACTAATGATTTTTTTTTTTCTGTAGCATTCTTTTCCATGCCTACCTTGGAATTACAGTTCTGAATGTATTACTTAAATTGATCTGTTTGCAGGTAAGATTACGAGTTTCTCTCCCAACTAATCCTGGGGACTTCTGGGCTCCCAGTGTCGCACACTAGCAGAAAGCACTGTCATATAATTTCAGAAATTCTTCGACACTCAGATTGAGAAAGAATGTTTTTTACAGGCCATTAAATTTGTCTTGTTAGTTCTGATTCTTTTTCAGTTTTGGCTCTCTACCATTTGATCGAAGTAATAAAAGTAGAAAAACTTAGTCATTGACAGTAATAGAGTAGAGTGCAGTCTAGCCTGAAGGCAAACAATGACCCTTAAATTGCACGAGCTTTTTTTTTTTTTTTTGTCATTATTGAACATTTAAATGTATCTGTGTCTGAATTATCCTGGGACAAAATGTCTCATTTTACAAATCTTATTATTTTTTAATCTTATCAAAAATCAAGATTTCTCTTTAACCATTTATTACAGGAACTTATATTGGAGGTTGTGGAGTCAGACAGACTTCAACTTATACTCTGGCTTTGGCACTTTTTTGTTGTATGGGTTAGGAAAATCAAGCTTTCTCATCAGTTAAATGGCAATAAATTTTGTGATTATTAAAATATAATGTTGGTTCAGTGCATATCACAGACCTGGTATATAGTATGTGCTAGCTAGCCAAAATTTTAATTTTCCTTTTTCCAGCCTGAAAAATAAAAAGAAAAAATAGAGAGATGAAGATGAAGAGAGACAAAGGAAGAAATAGAGAAAATACAAAAAGAACAAGGAAGAAAGAATAAATGAAGGAATAAGGAGAAAAAGGATAGATTAGAAAGAAACATGTAGCTTATGAAAATATGTCTATGTCCATGGAGGTCAATTTAAGTAATACAGATATATGATTTGAATATAAATTAATTTATACTTTATATTTTCCCACAAAATAGATAGATTTCACATATCTATCATTTATGCTACACTCAAAAAAGAAATCTCTCTTACCAGAGAAAGTCAAGGCTCAGTCAATGCATGACAGTAAATGTTATTGCCCAGATCATGGAATAAATAATTTTGTGAAAATATCTTTTCATGGGAAAATTTAAAATGAAGGGAAATATTAAAAGCTAAAAATGTGTGGTCAGCATATGGAGGCTCTTATAAAACATAACATCATTTGATAAACAGTTTTCCCCATAGTCGGTAAGAGTCATTGGTTCAGTTTAGTCTCCTCATTCATATTCACTTAATAGACTGTTTCTGATAAGTATGTGTTCATATCATAAATGTAGCATTAGATTATTGCCTCGAATCCACCCTGGTAAAATAAAGACCTTCCAAATATATTTTGTAACTAGGTACTGATGATAAGTCTTTCTTTCTCCCTGCAGTAGAGGTAGATTCAAGGGTTGAAGAAAATTGTTTATGGAATAAATTAACTACTGACTTTTTTATCAGAAAATATATTTGGGATACCCATAAGGACTAGATTTTCAATAAATGAAGTTTCCAATCTGCTTTTCTTCACTTAGTTACTTCCCCTTGTTAGTCACAAGGCAATGGATACTTCAAAATTCAAGAAACATTTATTTTCATTTTTTAGTTTAGTACAGTGCATAGATTTCAGTTTTATACATGAGATATATAGACATGCTCACTAATACCTGATTATAAAGTTATTCTTTCTATTGTAGGAGTTTTCTTTCTCTTTGGATCCCATTAGGACATACTGTACTAAATGGAAGAAACAAACAAGTCCATAGTGTCCGAGTTTATTTTTCAAGGACTTTGTAATTCAAGAGAATTTGAGATGTTCCTCTTGCTGCCATTTTCAACACTCTATCTAGTGACTGTTGTGGGCAATCTATTTGTTGTGTTATTAATCATCACTGACCACCGTCTCCATTCCCCCATGTACTTCCTCTTAGCCAATCTCTCATTTGTTGACTTCTGCCTTTCTTCAGTAACCACTCCCAAACTGACCACAGACTTCCTAAAGCCTAATAAGACCATTTCCTTTAGGGGTTGCATGAGCCAGATCCTCTGTGTGCACTTCTTTGGAGGGGGTGAGATGGTACTGCTTGTGACAATGGCATATGACCGATACGTGGCCATCTGTAAGCCCCTGCATTACTCCAGCATCATGGACAGACAAAAATGCATCTGGCTAGTTTCAATATCGTGGATCATTGGCTTTGTGCATGCCATGAGTCAACTGGCTATGATTTTGGAGCTGCCCTTCTGTGGACCCAGAGTAGTGGACAGCTTTTTCTGTGACATCCCTTTGGTGATCAAACTAGCTTGCATGGATACCCATACTCTGAGTACACTGATAAATGCTGACAGTGGATTCTTGGCAACAACTTGCTTCATTGTCTTGCTGATCTCCTATACCTATATCCTGTTAACTGTCCGTCTTCACTCTAAAGATGGGGCATCAAAAGCACTCTCTACCTGCACTTCTCACATCACAGTGGTGGTGCTCTTCTTTGGACCCTGCATCTTCATCTATCTGTGGCCCCTCAGCATCACCTGGGTGGACAAGTTTCTTGCTGTGTTTTATACAGTAATCACACCTCTCCTGAATCCAGCCATTTACACACTGAGAAACAAAGAAATTAAAAGTGCCATACAGAGACTGATACATCAATCAGCACATGAATTCAGGGGATAATTATTAGAGTTCTCTTATAATCAGAAAATTCACCATAAGCACCCCCATTTGGCCACATTTTAACCTGAAAACAAACTATAAATATGTCCTGTTTATGCCTGAAATCTATGAATATTCTCAGATGTTTGAGTTGTGTCTTCTCCTTTATGAAAGTATGTTCAAAAATTTAAAAACTATATTCTTACCACTGGGAAAGAATAAATATTCTTTTGTAGGTGTTCAATGATTACTAAATAATCACAATAATAATGATAACAATAATAAAGGTAACAATTGTTAAAATTTACTGTACCCTGCCTGCATCCCCAACATAGTGCTAAACATTTTAATCTAGCATCACTTCGATTTAGATTTAAATATTTTCTTTTTTTTTTTTTTTAGAAGATTTTTGTTATAGGATGTGTGTACTCGCTGGAGATACAGAGAGAGAGAGACAGAAAGTGAGAAATCCCCCCCCGGGGGGGGGATGGCCACATTACTATCCCTTCTCCTCCATTCTTGTCTCAGGACTTTGGGCACACATACACATGTGCCCAGCATTTGTTTCAAGTCGCCAGGTCCAGGACTCGAACCACCGTCAACTACATGGGAGAACAGCAACATAACCATTACACCATCTTCTGGTTTCCTCACTTCTAAAAAATACATTTTCATCATGTTTCTATCTCAAAAAAAATTATAAGTATGTGAATTGATGGGCATGTTAATTAGGTCATTGTATTATTCCATACCATACTTAAGTTAAAAAGTCATATTGCACTTATGAATATATACAATTATTATTTTAATTAATAATTTAATTTTTTGAGAGGTTTTTGCTATAGGGCGCATGCGCTCGCCAGACAGAGACAGACAGAAAGTGAGAAATCACCCCCCAGGGGGGATGGTCATGCCACAATCCCTTCTCCTCCGTTCTCCTCTCAGGATCCTGGGCACGCACGCACACGCGCCTGGCATGAGTTCTAAGCCACCGGGTCAGGGACAGGAACCACAGTCGACTACGTGGGAGTTCAGTGACATAACCATTACGCTAACTTCTGGTTCCCAATAATTTAAATTTAAAATAAATTATTCATCTTGAGTAACTAGAGACAGGGCTAAATATATTTGGAAAGTCTGCTTCCATTTGGAAAGCAAAAAGATTTTTTTCCATTTTGCTTTGTTGGTTCACTTAATTGAATAAAAGTAATGTACATTATCTTATATCTTTCTAGTCTTATTCTCATAGTAAAAATTATCTTATGAGACAAGCAATGTTCTTCAAAGCACTAGTAATTTTTGTTACTCTAGTATGTGAAGTATTTGGAATCTTCCATCTCCTTTCTTCTGAATATTAGGATCATTAAAAAAAGAAAAAAAGTATTGTCTCTAGTTTGGTTATCCCATTCCTATTGACACAACATGAAAAAACATGCAAACTTTATTTTTTGTTGAAGGAATTCAATCTCTAATTCTAGTCTAGAAAACTCTCTTTTTCCTGAATATTCTCAGGATTATTTTAATAGATAACACTTATTTAGTACTTACTGTATGCTAGACCATTTTCTGATGTTTGTTCTTATTTCAACCCATTAAGTCTTCAAAACAACCTTATAAGGCAGTGACTCTTTTTTTTTTAATTTTTATTTTTTATTATCATCATAATCTTTATATTCCATCAGATTACATATAACTATACAGTGTATTGCATTGCTTTTTCAAAAGGGAATGCTATGCATGTCAGTCAGTACAGAGAAATTAATCTCCCCACTTCAACATTCAATATCTTTTCTATGTTTTCCCCAATCATTATTTTTATTATTCTAATTATTTTTTAAAACAGTCAATCGCTATTTCTAATTTTGCTTATAAAAATACTTTGCCCATCATGAAATACTTCTCAGACCAAAAGAATCCTATACACGCCCCCATCAACAGTGAATAAGCCATATCTGTTTCTCACTAATGTCCTGCCTCTCTATTGTTCACTTGCTATCTTTCTCTATCCTCTTCTCTTCACTTCCCCCATTCCACACTAAGGCAGTGACTCTTAGTATCTGTCTTTTACAGATGAAACTACAGCCCTGCACTGTACAGTAATTCACCTTGGAATACACAGCTAATAAATGCAGTCAGCCCCTGTGTCTGTACCCTTTCACACTGCATTATGTTGTGTATTAGAAATTGTTTCTTGGGGCCAGCAGGTTAGGTATGGTGGTTAGGGCCCTGGACTTCCACATGACCACCATGGTTCTAGTCCCAGACCTAGTGACTTGCTCTCTCTCTCTCTCTCTCTCTTGAACTTTTTTTGGAGAGGTTTTTTGCTATAGGGCACATGTGCTCGCCAGAGAGACAGAGAAAGACAGAGAGATAGAAAGCAAGAAATAATATCCCCAGGGGGGAATGGCCATGCTGCAATCCCTTCTCCTCCACTTTCCTCTTGGGATCTTGGGCATGCATGTACACATGCCCAGCGTGAGTTTTAAGCCATCGGGTCTGGGACTCAAACCACAGTTGACTACATGGGACTTCAGTGACATAGCCATTTCACTAACTGCTGGTCCCTCATGAACTGTACCCTATAGTAAATTAAATAATAATAATAAATAAAATTTAATAAATAAGTACTTTTCAAAAAGAAATTGTTTATTCATGAATTTTTCTTTCCCTCCATTAATTTAGATAGGTCTTATTTTTAAGTTAGAGAAACAATAAATAATAATTAAAAATAGAGCAAATCAATTTGGGGAAAAAAATAGGCATAAAATTATTTAACATCATACCACCACTGTAGAAATTTTGAATAAATTCTGAATATTTACTTGAGCAAAATTTTATTTGATCTACCCAAAATAAAAAAAAATTATACCCCATAACTGTTTCTTTGATTTATTGATATTCCTTCCATGCTAGTAATCATTTGTAAAACCTTCACTGTATGGATTTATCCATTTCTTACCTAATTACTCTTTTGTTCTTAAGCAATTCACTTTTTCCCCACTTAAATTATAAGGAATAGTCATTTTTTAAATTATTTTCTTTTTTATTATTTTTTACTTATTTAAATTTAATCACATGTGTACAGCATTGCTTTTTCCAGCACAAATACCTTGCGTATCAGTCAAGACAAACATATTAGCACATACATTGGTATCAGCAAATAGCTTCTCACTTTTTTGTCAATTAAAGATACTTTTACTTTTTTTCTCCTTCCTCTTTCCCCCTCTCTCTTCCATGCTAAACGTTTTTCACATTTTTGATTCACAAAAGATCTTAATTAAACTAAAAATATGGACAAAGCTATTTTTTAAGTTTATTCAAGAGAGAACATGTGAGAAATTGAGATGGCATTCCCAACAAGGTTCTAATATTGCCCTCCACCACCAACCTCAGCCAGGCTGTATCACCAGGAAGCATGTGCCCAGTATGCCCTGGATAATTTCCAGACTTATACTAGACACCTTCACATGTGGAATTGTGTCACCTATTTTACTGCTATGCCATTGTCTGGTCCCAGAAATACTCAGAATTAAAGTAAAATAATGGGGCCAGCAGATGACATGGTGGTTAAGGTGTTGGACTTCCACATGGCCTACTGCAGTTCAAGTCCCAGACCTGGCACCTTGCTTTCTCACTTTTCCTCCCTGTCTCTCTCTGTCAAATGAAAAATTAATGATAAATAAAATGAAAAGATTCTTTTAAAAGGAAGTAAAATAACTGTACAACTATTTTTTAAATTGTTTATTTCACTAAAATTAATTCTATGAGACATTTAAGGGGCATAGAAATGGAGGATTATCTGTTGATGATAACATGTGTGATATTTTCTTTTTTTTTTTTTTTTGATAGGTTTTTCTATAGGGTGCATGTGCTCGCCAGACAGACATAGAGAGACATAGATACAGAAAGCGAGAAATTACCCCCCAGGGAGGATGGTCACGCTGCAATCCCTTCTCCTCCATTCTCCTCTCAGGATCTTGGACACGCACGCACACGCGCCCGGCATGAGTTTTAAGCCACCAGGTACGGGACAAAACCACGGTCAACTACGTGGGAGTCCAGCAACATAGCCATTAAGCTAACTGCTGGTTCCCAGATGTATGATATTTTCAACAGGACTGGTGTAAAGTATATTCATGTTGGGTAAATTCAATTTACAAGCTATAATGATCAGTGATTGCATAAAATAAAATAAAGTAAAATTCTCCCCAAGTTAATCTACCTACTTAATGCAATACCAATCAAAGTACCAGACCAGACCTTCACAGATTTAGAAAATATCATCATAAAATTCATCTGGAATAATAAAAGACCCCGCATTGCCAAAGCAATTCTACAAAAGAAGAGTGAAGTGGGCGGCATCTCACTCCCTGACCCAAAAATATGTTACAATGCTGTGGTAATCAAAACAGCATGGTATTGGCACAGGAACAGACATGTGGACCAATGGAACAGAATTGAGTCCACAGGAATATATTCCCAATTATTCAGTCAACTGATTTTTGACAAGGGGTACCCATCAATCCAGTGGGAAAAAGAAAACCTCTTCAGCAAATGGTGCTGGAAAAACTGGATTTC